CCCCCCCAGCAATAAAACCCTACTTTCTCTATTCCGAACAGTGGATAAAGCCTGCTCATGTAAAGGGAGAGAAGTTTGAAACTTTAAAAGGATGGTTGAACATTTTTAACTCAAGCAAGCAGCCTGTTTGCAAGGACTACTGACATTTGTATGATTTAAGTTTTACAGTTTGGGTGGGGGGAAAAGAACAAATAAAAATGAATGTTTATTATACACTTGCCTTAGCGATCATTCCTGAGATAAGTTTGTAGGTCAGCTTGCTTTTTTTTTTCCTTGAAAGAGGAGAGTAAAATTGGGTCAGTCTGTTGCATTGTTTGGAAAATTGCAATATAAATTTTACCAAATTGGTATTGATTTATGTATAACCTCAAGTAACCGGCAAGTTTCAAACCTGAATTGCTTCAGACATGGGGAAAAGTCAGTGTTACACTTTTAATCAAGTCCTAAAAATACTGGTATTCTAGTTTCCATTGCAATAAACAGCAGGGGAACAAAAGGAAAAGTCCTTCTTAAGCAGCCAGTTTATCTTCAAGCACTTAAAAATGTAGCTCATTAATGACTGTCATAATCTTATGCAACCAGACTGAATGTAATAGGTACTGTTAGATTCAATTAAATGGAAAGGTCAGGACAAGTAACACAGCAGGGATGAGTAATGTGTGTGTGAGAGCACTGTTACTTCTTGCAGTTACAAGTTAGGCAATGCCAACAGATGCACTGTAAGTCCCCTTCTTGTATGTACTTAAGTAGCCCATGTGAGGCTTTATCTCTGTATCTTTTGTTAAGATTCTAACTGAGCTACTCTCAGGCTCCCTAGATTTTTCTGTTGTTGTTGACCTAATGGGTAATTTCTTTTTAGTTTTATACCTTATATAGGAGACTGTGGAAGAAGTAGAATATAGCTCTTAAGATTTATGTTCCTTGGAATAACTTTATTTCACTGCTAATTCTTGTTTGATAGTATGAGTGTTAAAAACAGAACAGGGTGGGGGTGGAACCAGAAAATGCTTTATAATGAGAGTCAGAAGAAATGCTTCGGCTCAAAAATGTTATTTGACAGGCTAGAAATTAGCTTTCTTTTCATGCCCAGTTGATTACTATTGTGACTATCCCCTTCTGCCCAGCCAACTAGGCAGAGTGTGTTTAACATGTTATCTTTATCTATGTGTCAAGTTGTATTTAGTCAGTTAGGGAAAATCTATTTCATGGATAAAGAGCCCTTGACTTGCTTTTAAGATTTTAGGGTTTAGCTTTGAGGAACCCAGCGAGTCAGCTGTGGCACAATTCTTATCATTAAAATACAGTGCTTTCTGTTCTTCCTGAAACAAAGCAATAGCCATGATAATACCAAGTATACTTTTCAGATAAAGGGTAGTGAACTTTTGTAACTTGTATCGTTTAGTAGGATAGATGTTAAGTGATGTGATCATGTCTGCAGATTCATCACAGTGAAGAAAATTTGACTATAAATTACTGAAAAGTTCCCCCACTGAGTCATTAGACTGTGTGAACATTGTCTACTTTTTTAAAAATTCTGGAGGATAGGGGTGTGCACCCAGGGTGTGCTTGTGTAGGGATATACTATCCACTTAAACAGCTGTGGGATAACTTTTTTCTTTGGCTGGGCCTTAGTGACCACTTTTGTTTCTTTCCATGCCTTTGTGAAAACAAGAAGTTAGTTTCCTTGTCAAATGAAAAATTGAGGTTTATGCTATTTTTAAATGACATGCCTAGTTTTAATGTAGGCTATAAGCCAAAGGCACTTAATGAAACTATATAGAAAAGAATGTTCTTTGCAAGATTTTTTTTCATTAATTATGTAGTTACCTTAAGTTTCAGAAGTTGAAAAATTATAGTGTTGAAGAGGGGTGGCAAGAATTCAACCAGACCTCTAGTTATATTGAGAAAACTATCTAATGTATCCACACTGTACAAAAATAATCTTAATAAAAGAGATCTTAAAAACATTCATACTTTTTAGGGATGCACATTAAAGTCTGCAGGACTGAAGTGACAGGCTATCTGAGATTTACTTTTAAAAGGAAAGGGTAAAAGATAAAGATAAAGCAAGAATAGCAACATGTTGGACTTTATAATCTTCATGATGTGTGGAGGGGGGTTCATTATGCTACCTCCTCCACCACTGCATATGTCTGATTTCTTTTGCAAACAAGAATAGGTCCTACGGTCGTAAATCTTTTAGATGTGGCAAGTCATTTACTAACTAATAGTGACTGAGTGAACTAGAAGTCTGATTTTGAGAAAATTGTAAAGAAGTGTTAAAAGATGTATTGAAAGTGGCAGGAGTGTGTCCATCCTGCTTTTGGAAACCAGCATCAGTGTTTGGTTTTACCAGTAGGGAGATGCTTTCCATAGAAGACTGGCTAGGAGATGAATGTTTTTAAAAAGGAGAAATACAACAAGACTTCAGGATAAAATTGTAAATTAAGTTACATGTCTTAGGAAGCTCCCATTACGGTTTCCTTTCGTCCAAATTTCCCTTCTGCTGAAAGTACCTACCTGTCTTTAAATACTTGAACAGTGCCATGCTTTCATAATAGAAGGCTAATGATAAACATACACCAAGGTATTTGGAACTTTAATACCTCTGTCTAGTTTTGGTATCAAAATAACGTTAGTCTTATAAAACGAGTTAAGAAGTATTCTATTTCCTGGAAGAGTTTGCTTTCCCATGAGTACATTTTAAAACATTACTTAGGTTTAATTTAAATACAATAAATGTGCTTCTATTTTGTGTGTGGTTCAGTGAACTTTGACAACGGAATATAACCAGGTAATCACCACCATAATCAAGATATCAGCATTTCCATTACCTAAAAAAGTCCCATGTTCCCCTTCACAGTTAGTCTCCACCCTCCTCCCTCTTTACCTGGCACCTGGCACCAGGCAACCACAGATCTACTTTCAATCGCTATAGATTAGACTTGTCTTTTCTACATTTTCATTTAAATGGGCTTACCTAGTGGGTACTCTTTTGTGTCTAGGTTCTTTCCCTCAGCACAAAGTTTTTGAGATTTATCCATGTTGTGTATATCAGTAGTTTTTCTTTTTTCCTGAATATTATTTCATATCACATTTTAGGTTGTTTCTAGTTTTAGCTGTTCTGGGTAGGACTTCTGTGAACATCCATGTACAAGTATTTGTATGGACATATGCTTTCATTTCTCTTGGGTCACATAGCTGGTGGTATGGTATGTGTTGATTTCACTTTAAAATAAACACATAAACTATTTTTCAAAGTGGCTATATACCATTTTGCGTTCCCACTAGCAATCTATTTGTATTCCAACTACTTCAGATCCTTGGCAACATTAGTTATTATAAGTCTTTGTGGTTTTAGTTATTATTATGCATTTTAGTGGTGTCTTAGTGTGGTTTTAATTAGTTGATCATTTATTTTTTATAAACTGATGACGTTGGTGATGGTGAGCATCCTTTCATGTGCTTATTTGCTGTTCATTATCTTCTCTGAATGTCTATTCAAATACTTTTTACATTTCTTAACAAAACTGAGTTGTTTTCTTATTGAGTTGTAAGACTTATCAGTAGTGTATATCCTGGGTATAAGTTGTTCTCATATATATACTGTGAATATTTTGTCCAAGTCTGTTGCTTGCCATTCATTTTTAATGGTGCCTTGTGAAAAACAGAATTTTGATGAAGTCTCATTTAGAAGTTTTCTTTTATGATTTGTGTTTTTTGTGTCCTAAGAAATCTTTGCCTACTTCAAGATTTTCTATTTTTGTCTAGAAGTTTTATACGCTTAGCTTTTAGTACATGTTCTGCCGAAGCAAGTACAACTTTTAGCTTTTGTATTAAGATCTGTGATGCATTTTGGGT